TTTTTTTTTTTTTTTTTTTTTTTTTTTTTTTACTGTTTCATTCATTTTATGTTACGTTATGAGTTATAATTCGCCATTATTTAGTTTCTAAACTTTTATAAGTTAATTTAAAATATATATATATATATATATATATATATATATTTAATAAATTTTTAATTTTTGTTTCATAGATAATTTTTTTTTAAATATCTAATAAATTTTTAAATTTTGTTCCGATAACTTTATGTCCTATTTATCTGTAAATTTTAAATAAATATTTAATAGAATTATATATTTTAAAATTTAATTATTTTTAAAATTATCTAATAAATTTTTAAATTTTGTTCCATAGACATCCTATTTATCAGGAAACTGTCCCTATCTGATATATATATATATATATATATATATATATAGTCTATGTGGCCACTCTTTTTGAGGGGTCATCCAACCCCTATCAAAACCCTGATCAATAATCGATACGAACTCGACATGGTGTCATTACTTATGTTACATGAACACGACTTTCCGTAATGATATGATATTGTCCACTTTGAGTATAAACTTTCCTGGATTTGCTTTCGGCTTCCCCCAAAAGACCTCGTACAAATGGAGATAGTATTTCTTAATTATAAACTCATGATCATTCCTTAAATTAGCTGATATAGGACTTTCATAAAAAAAAAAAAAAACCAAATTCGGGGGCTTGATTGAACTAAAAAAGCAAATGAGAGCAAAAAAAAAAAAAAAAAAAAAAAAAATTGTGAACTTGATACGGGTTGGAGCTTATGTGGTCATGCATATATTTTAAGAAGATATTGTATGTAACGCTTCGTATCACACCTCACAACCTCGAAATTTCCATGCATCACTTACAGCATGATCATTTTACTTACTCGACTTGAGTCCCGACTATCCCAACAAACTAATCCGAGTTCTTTTAGCATGCATTGTATTGACTAACATACAACTCAGACATAGAATATCATTGAGTATCACGCGGTCGAGAATCGAGAATCTTAATATATATAATAAATTGACCATCCCCTCCTTAAAAAAAAAAAAAAAATGGAGGTTCAGCTAGTGTTAGGTAGGATTGCAATGATGTACTTTCTTCATATGTGCCCTTAAATTCCAAAAAGCTGAACCCTCTAATGTCCCAATCTCTCTCTCTCTCTCTCTCTCTCTCTCTCTATATATATATATATATATTAACCTATACCTATTATAAATTTATTTTTATTAGGGTTTAATTAACCTGCCTTTGCCAATAATTATTATAGGAAAAAAAATTAGATTTAATATATATTTTGTACATTAATAGAGATTAAAGGATAAAAATATTAATAATATTCACATATTTATTAATTATATATAAATGAAATCAATATTAATAAACTATAATCCAAATATAAATTAGTGATTAGTGTTAGAGAATAATCTTTAATTTTAGGAATATTTACTTTTAAACAGTTTTCTTTTAATTTGTAATTTTCGTATTTAAATTTTAAAAAAGTAATTTTTTGATTTTTTTTAAAAAAGGTAAAAACTAGGGATGATTAAAATAGCCAATGGAAGAGCGACACGTAGGATTTCACGCAAGTAATGCCTTGATAATATGGCGGTCAAGGGTTGTGTAGAGGAAAAGAGCCCAAACCGCGTGACCGAACCGAAGCGTGTTGATGCGATTAGGGTGAAAACAGACAATAAAATAATAATAAATAAATTGTTGTAATTCCTAAAAAATAGGTAGTTTTTTTTTTAATTATATTTTAAAAAAATTAAATACCCAAGTTTGTTTTAAAATTAATAAATCCATAAAATATAAAATTAATAATTTGAACTTATTAATCATTTTTTAAATTTAAAAATTCATTAAATATATATATATATATATAAACATTCCTAAAAATTAGTAAATCCATAAAATTTTATATAAAATTAGGAAAAATACGTAAGTTTCAAGTATTATTTATTAAATATAAAATTAATAATTTTTTAAAATTAAATAATTCATTTAGTTATATATATGAAATAAATAAATAAAAAAATTATTGAAATTAATGATTCGGATCGGATGATGGTGATTGGCGAAAGAGATTGTGGTGTTGGTTTGGGTGTGGGGTCCACAGTGAGGTGGTCCCTACCCAATATTGAGAGTGGGCTAAGAAATAGGCGGCTGAGGAGGAAGAAATGAAAGGTGGGTTTGGCACGTGTGAAGGGAGTGTTGACACGTGTGAGAAGAGAGAGAGAGAGGGAAGAGAGAGAAAGGTTGCTGGGTTTGGGCGGACATGATGGATTCTTGGTTTCTGGGGAGCAGATTGTGGCCCTTTGCCTTTGAAATTGAATGATTGGTGGATGGAATCCCCCCCCCTCTCTCTCTCTCTCTCTCTCTCTCCTCATTATTATTAATTAAATATTTTTTCAAATTTAATTTTGAAATAAAAATTTATTAAAATTTTGGATGAAAAACCGAACCGTTTGATGCCGGTATGAAACGTTGTGACGATATTCGTTCGGGTCTAACTTTTTTATTACGGGAATTAGTTATTATTCTTAGAGAGGAGCTGACAATACTATACCACTATCTAGATCATCTTGCACTTGATAACATTGGAATGGTCTTAGTTTATTAATAGACGAACCGTTTTCTTTTAGTTGTGGTAGCTTCCACGCTAGCTAGCTGGTTAGCTCGTAAAATTTAGAGTCGTGATTTTGGTCATTTTGGAGTTCGGTAGAAAAGGCGGATGTACTTTAGAAGCTTCTAGGGTTTTTTTAATACTATCAATGGATGTGGGTCCCACTTGAAATGCTAAACATTCTACATTAGAATATATGATTGAATTTTTCATTAAGCTTTCATGCTACCATCTAAACATAATTATATACGGACCCGTTCTTTTGACGAAGAGCGTAAATTTTAATTGTCGAAAAACCTAGAAAGCTCAGTAAAAATGAAAAATTGAAGGGTTATAATTGGGGTTATTACGGATGGTGTTTTAGTACCAAGTAGCAATTTTAACTGTCAAACCACTTAGAAAGTCGGATAAAAATGAAAATTTGAAGCCCTAGAATAAAAGAAGGGTTACAATTGTGGTTATTATGAACAAATGCAACGTAAATTTTAACGGTAGAGAAATCTAGAAAGTTCGATAAAAAACAAAACACGTTGGCAGAATTGAAACAAAACTCTAGAGTAAAAAAGGGTTAGAATTGTGATTATTACGAACAGCTGGCCTTTGTACTAGTAGCAATTGTAACAAAGAATGTAAATTTTAACAATCGAGCCATCTAGAAAGCTCAATAAAAAAACAAAACATGTTGGAACAATAGAGGCAGAATTGAAACAAAACCCTAGAATAATAGAAAGGTTACAATTGTGGTTATTACGAACAGTTGGCCTTCGTTCTAGTAGCAGTTTGAACGAAGAACGTAAATTTTAACAATCGAGACATATAAAAAGCTAGCTCGATAAAAAATGAAACACGTTGGAACAGTGGAGGCAGAATTGAAACAAAAACTCAAGAGTAAAAGAAGGGTTAGAATTGTGGGTATTACGAACACGTGCGTACGTTACAGTATCGATTCGGCATCTAAAAAGCTCGGGGTGAAGAAGTTAAGAGTAAAGTGGTGGTAGGGGTTTATAGAAGAAGTAGGGGAAGGAGATGAGGACCACACAAAGGGCATAGACATAATCATATTGATCAAAATTTAGATCTCCATCAATCTCAAGAACTCAGATCCTCTCTCTCAGAGAGAACAGAGAGAAAGAGAGAGGATGAATCTGAGCCGTTGAATGTTGGGAGTGTTAGTTAGGGTTGTGAGGACTAAAATGAGTACAAAACAAAATGATGAGAGGTAGAAGCAGAATGTGTCTGGGAGATGTCTGGTAATACCCATAGATAAATGGATTTTTTTTTTTTTTTTTTTTTTTTTTTTTTTTGCC